CAGATCTTTGTCCACTCAAGTAGAAAAGCCAGAGAAAATTGCTTTAATATATCATTCCAGAAAAAGAAAAAAAGAAAAAAAGAAAAAAAAGAAAAAAAGAAAAAAAAGAAAAAGGAAAAAAGCAAAAAGCAAAAAGTTTATTTTCACTTACTGGCCTTCAGAGAGTTGGAGAGTTGATTCCACACTAAGAACTGCTCTTAGCAAGTGGAAGAGCACTTTTTTACTTCATTATAAATAACATGTTAGGCACAACTAGATTTTTTGTTTGTTTGTCCACAGGACAGGAATGATAGTGCCAGAGCTGCGTGACCTTTCCAGCTTGCCTCTTCTCCTTCTCTTGCCACCTCCATGAGAGACTGCCTGGGGGCAGTCAATGGAAGTCAATGCTGGCTTGGGATGTAGTCGCCAGCCGGGGTGAGGGGTAACCTCTGACTCACTCCACCACCAAAGATAGAATCACAGAATCATAGAACGCTTCAGGCTGGAAAAGACCCTTGGGATCATCGAGTCCAACCATTGACCCTACACTACAAGTTCACCCCTAAACCATATCACCCAACACCCCATCTAAACGACACTTGAACACATCCAGGGATGTCGACTCAAGCCCCTCCCGAGGCAGTCTGTTCCAGTGTCTGACCACCCTTTCCATGAAGAATTTCTTTCTAAAATGATGAGGAGGTGGGAGGACGTCCAAGGAAAGGGGAAGTGTTGTCACTTGGAACTTTTCCTCATTTTACAGACGCCTCAGCTTCTGTGAGTCATGACACACAAGACCTGTGATGGGGTCGGAGCTGTCGGGCCCTGTGAGGGTGGCAGTGTGAGTGGGGAGGTGCAGGGTGCCAGGGAGTGGGGAGCTCCAGCAGCACCCTGGGGCTGTTGTGTGGTGCCTGCACTGAAGCCTTGAGTATGAGGTTCATTTGCGAAACAGAAATTTGGCAAGCAGCTGTGCTTACCATCTTAGGGCCGTGGTGTGGAGCTAGGATGGCCTGACAACAGACCTGATGCCAAGGGAGTGGGAGGCAGGGCTCAGCTGAGGGAGCTGAGATGGGTGGAGAGCAGTGTTCAGGTAAGCACGCCATGGAAAGGAGACCATAGGCACAAAGGAGAAGGCTTCCTGTGCATGACTTACACATTGTACAGCAATGAGAACATGGTTGCAAGCCCTGTTGAAATCCTTTGCAAGAAAGAGTTTGGCTATGCCCATTTAAAACCAGCACAATACTGGGTTCTGTGCAGAGGTAGCAATCATCTAGAAGCCAGACTGAGAGTGACCCAACTCCGAGGCCACCACGTAGGCAGGTGTCCCTAGGCACTGCAAACTCGCTCTTAGCTTTGAAGGCTACTGCTTGCTTCCGCTGTTGGAGTTACGTGCTCAAAGAAGGCGCTGGCTCTTAACTGCACGATACTGTGCAGGTTGGATCCTGAATAAATCCAAGCAACCAGGCTTTAACACCGTCAAGGAGAAAGCTTCACAGAGAATCACCAGTTTTTTACAAAGACCTACACAAACACAGTAATGCCACCTAAGTTCACTGCAAGCACCAAGGCAAATGACTGTACAGGAAGAAAAGGGATGAAAAGTAGGTGAAATTTCAAACTCTCAAGATGGATGAATGTTTCAGCTGTTTGCTTTTTTCAACTTAAAAGTGCACTTTCATATTAAGTATCTTAAAAGAACAGATTTCAGGAGAGTGTTAATAAGAGAGTTGTGCCTAAATTAGAACAGAATATGCATGTTGTGATCAGTACACAGCTCTCCAGTTTCAAAGCAACTCTAAATAATTGAACACTTCAATCGAAATGGTAGCTGACAGCTCACTAGAATGATACGACCTAGACAGAAACATCGTTTCCTCTGCTCAGACTGGCCCCCTGTTAGCTCCAAATGTTATTTATCTGCACTGCATGCAGAGTCCTACCGTTGTCCACTGTACACAGTCTGTGTGGACCATCAAAGCTTGTGCCATCAGCAGCAGGAAAGAGAGCTCTCCTGCTTTCCAGCTCTCACTGTAATTTCCAAAAGAACTGGAGAATCTGAAACCGCAGCCTAAGTCACCATTTTAGACACTTCAAATATTAAAGACTACTCCTTTAGGAGCCACCAGGTGATGGAGCCTTTGACTGTAGGCAAATATTAAAATACACAAATAAATAAGCATCAGTATTGCATTTATTTTCACTATGATCCCCATAACAAGCTTTCTAAATAACAGGAAATTACTTCAGTTTCTTATTCCAACCTCCCTGTTCTTTCTCACTCACTGCAATAAAAAGAAGTATAAAGTCCAAATACTGGCAAAAGATTTAGAATTGAGACTTGATTTCCATTTGTCCAGGACTGTTGTCTAAAACAGTGTCTTTCTTTGTCCCTTTAGGTCTATGCTCCACTCCCTCTGATGAGAAGCCTGAGCCAAGGTCTCACAAATCCGGGGAACACCTATTACATATCAAAAATTGGGTTTCTTTGGTCTAAAAGCTGTGGATGGAAAGATAGTGTGTCTGCTGAGGGGCAGTTACTCCCTGTCTCAGACTGGAAATAGCCATTGAGCAACAAGAACAACATGTACTGAAAATTTACTAGTATGTGTGAAAACTCTGAGTTAAAGACTCTCTTTCCTTACAATGAATTTCCTGACACAGTGTCTGCTGTTGCCTTACGTTACTCTGGATATTTTCATCAGATATCCAATAATCATCTGCTTGCAGGGGAGATGCTGATTCTTCCTAACACCATTCTTTACCTTCTGCTGTCTTATCTGTTCTTAAACAAATATTCTTGCACCTGCTGGTCTTCAAAGGAATGAGATCCTGAGGTTTTAAATTCCCAGTCTATGCTTTTTGGTAAGTAGTAGTCACAAGTTCACTTGAGGAGCTCCTTTCTTTTTGCTACTCCCCAAAAGAGGAAAAGGTAGAATAAAAAGATTTATGGATTTATTGACCGTCAGTGCAGGGCCGGGTAGTCAGTCCCCCAAGTATCATATTTTTAGCTGCTCTGGCTGCTTAGTTAACTTCTCATTTGCTCTGTTTCCCAGGAATGACATCAGACAGGAGAATTTTTAGTAGCTGCTGAAATTAAGTGTCATAACAGAAATAAACCCACAAAGAGAGTTTAGTTTGTGGAGTGCTGGCTGCCCAGCCTCCTGAGAGGGTAACTGAGTGAAACTTCAGCAAAGCTCCAGGGACTGACAACATCATTTATTCTGTACAGGATAAATCTAAGACGCAGTTAAGCTCCTTTGGAGTAAACTAGCTTAAACTGGTAAGTCAAAAGTCACTGCAACTTTCAAGGCCAAAATGAGAGATATCTGGACCATGTAATCTTACTGGAGATGGAGGGTGAAAGAAAGATGCTTGCAATGGGCTGGTGCAAACAGAAAGTATAACTTGGCCATGTTTCCCTAGAAGAATAAGCTATAGGGAGGGTTTTATGTACAGGAGGCTGGCTAAAAGCAAACGTCAGACTGTGAACAGAGGGAATAGCTCTTCTGTATTTGGATGGAATATGTGAAACGTACACATCCATAAACTAATAGGCTTGCATCAAAAGAAACATCCTTATGCATTTATTCTTCTATTAGATAAAATCCTGCTTGTCTTAAAGAGTTAAAAAATTATGTCTGAGCAAGATGACATATAAAGCAATTGAAGTTTTACTTTTGGTGAAATTTACATTATTTCTCCACTAACTGATAACCAAACCATTTCAATTTATTTTTTTCATGTAATTGAAGATGCTCCTCTTTCTGCTCCCGCTGTTTAAGTTCTGAGCATGAAGGGACAGAATTTCAGCTAGATGCCCAAGGATCTAACTACATAATTCCCATTACAGTTAATTAAATAAAATTATAATAACTAGAATTAGAACCCAGGGATTTATCCTATAAAGTAATTTAAAGGGACTGATGGATGGAAGGCACTATACCATTTTAATCAAATTACTGCTGACTCACTCTGAGTGAAGGTTATATAACCAGAAATGCAATTGCAAGTGGATCCAGAATAAATACTGCTCGATATCAAATATGTGCAGAGTACTGAAGAAACAGGTCTCCTCTCTAAGCAAAATGTACCAAAAAATATACAGGGAAGCATATTCTCCCAAGTTTTAATGTACTTACCACACAGCTGAAGTTTGGAATAGTTGCATATTTGTAAGAGTAAGGGTACAGCAGCATCTGTGCATACGCATGGAACGACAAATAGGCTTTTATTTGTTTCCGATGTTTGCGGAGAAAATGAGCAACAGCCTTTACTTCAGGCTCAGACTCAGGAAAGGGACCACAGTAGGTGTCATCGCATGGGTGGAATGAAGCACCTTCATCTAAAGAATGAAGGAGAAAGTTAATGGTGAACGATCACAGAGAATTTCCAAGGGTCAGCTTCTGGCTGAACCTCTGTGGGCCCACGTGCAGAAGTGTGAGAAGCAATAAACAAATCGCTTTCTTGTGACTGATGGACATGAGCAGGTGGGACCTCAGTACAGCAATCTGCTTGTTCATCTAGTAGACCAACTAAGTAGCCAATTGGCCAACTGCATACGGTTCTCCCCTGAGGATATATATTTTTAACCCAACATAAAAAAGACAGCCTGACGGCATTGTATTTTCTTCCCTGCCTTTCTGTATAAGCAGCAAATTTTGTGATAACATTCCAGTATTAAACCTATCGAAAGGTCTCCGTTGGTTTATCTGAAATCAGAGAGCTGTACCTCTTTCCTTAGTCACTGCCAAGACAAACCTAAACCTTAAGAACCCTGTAACACACTAGCTACCACAGTCATGGTTACAGTGGTAGGCAGATAACCTCTATAGGCATTATTGTTAAGAGACTGGTTTAAAACCTGGGAATAGTTCTCGACTACTGCCTATTTTTACTCTTATGGGGAAAAAATGACAAGCCACATGGGATGATCGCTCAATTAGCTAAACCCCAAATCATCTCAGTTTGCACAGGGCTTAGTTCTCCTTCAAGTTTGGGTCAGGGGTTCAGTTATGAGGATATCTTTCACCGCACCAACCTGCTCAGGTGGCAGTGAGCTGCAGAAGTGTAGCCTGCCTGTAATATCCACTGAAAGATGAAACTCAGAAAAGGAGATGTGGCAGTGGCTCCTTCATCATTTAGCAATTCTGCATCTAAGCCACCATCTCATTTACAGCTTAGGGCCTGGGCCTAAAAGCACAATATTTATGTAAATCCACTGAGCTCTTTTCCAGATTTTAAACTGCCGCATGTTTTACACTGACCCACAGAATAATAGTTTGGTCAAGACATTCATTCCCTGGTGTCATCAGGGACTTGCAGCAGCAGTGTTTTATTAGCCTTCCTTTGTATAGGAAGTACTGCCATCCTCAAATAATTAGAAAAGAGCAGTGTGTGAGAAGGCATAATAATATGAACCAAAACAGGGTTATGCAATCAACCTAATGTTAATTAAGAAGTGGGAGAATTTCATACTGCAGCTTCATTTGTAATACGAAAATTGTGGCTACCATTCAATGGCCACAGGTGGGGATTTCAAAAGGTATTAGTGCTCAGATTGTAGAGGATATGGAAGGGTTATATAGAGGGCAGATGGTCTCCTCCCTGCAGAACAGATGGCCACCAAGTCATCCAAATCCCAAAAGCACTAAGCCTTGATGTCTTGTCAGATAATGTATAGCTAAAGGAGAGCTATTTAACAGAGCCTCCAGAGCCTTTGCTTTTTTTTTATGGATGCTTCATCTCCCATAACAGTGCTGTATAATGAATCATGAAAATGGACATCAGTGTTTAATAAACAGCAGAATCTTACAAGCTAATGGTAAAATGACCCAACATTAAAATATGACTCAGTTTAATGACTTTCTGTGAAGAAAAAAACTCTCTAAACCGTCCAGCCTACTATCACAAGCCATTTTCAATCCCAGCTGTAGTTAATGCTTTTCCGTAAGTGAAACTGTCTGGTAGTAAAAAGACAGGGCTTCCACTGGATAACGTAAAGATATCCTCAATTTTCATCCTGGAAGTTCCATTAAAGTAACATGAGAAGGGAGAAAACTATACACTACATATCAACTTCTGTGAAAATTCTGAGTTACAGTCATGAGAGTAAAATGGAACTGCATAAAATGTTACCACACTACCTTGTTTTTTACCTGACAGCATATCAGGGGAGGACAAGTATCCTCCAACAAAGGAAACGTGTTCAGAGACTGATAAAACAAATGCTTTGGTACAGAAGGAAGACTGGGAGGATGGATGATCTGGAGCACAATTCTCAAAATTCCTTGCAGCCACTTCTTCTGCCAGTGTGGGGTACTGTTCTCGGTGGGCAATGGAAATTGGGTTGCACTGAAAATTTTAACTCCCCTGTTGCTCTCCTGGGAGCTGTAGATGAAGCTCCTTCAACTGGGTTTGCCCTATGACATAATTTAGTTCTAAGTACCTCATTATTGGCTTTAAAGACTCTATTTATTTCACGAACATTAAACCACTGTGCTAGATATTGCACATATATATTGCAAGGAGCATTTTAACCCAGAGATATTGCTGTCAGTATTCACCTGGGGCCGTGTGCAATTTGTGTGCGCTATTTTGGACACAGGGCGCTGCAAAATGAAATCTCCCACTACCAGTGATACAGCTCTTTTCTTGGTCCCTAGAGAATACAGAAGCAACATCATAAAGCTCACATCAAAGTCCTACACTAGAAGGGAAGAAGAAAGCAAAAGGGACGCTGTGTTATCTTTCCCAATGAGCTCAGTGCAGTTGGCATTCAGCGGCTTTGCTGGGGATGGATTCTGCCACAACGCACCTACCTGGAAGCCCCACAGTGAAGTTCAAACCTGTCTGCAAACTCTAAGGGTGCCTGCACGGAATTAGAAGGTTTCTACAAGCATATGCAGGATTAAATGTTAAACACACCATGATTATCGATCCTCAAAGTGAGATATGATCCAGATTCCTTTCTGTCTCATTTAGATTAATGAGAACATGGGGTGCCCGGTGAGGATCTTCTGAGTACCAGTCAGCTCAGTTCATGAAAGAACTCTTTATTCTCTGGCAAAACAGAGAATCAGACAGAGTTTGAGGTCTGGTGAGGGAAGCAGAGAATGAGTTTGGTGGGATGACAAATGACCTTGAAGGATTTTTTATTTTTTAAACTCAGGATGGGGACCTGTCTATCATGTTCAGCACAGGGAAGAAATGCAAAAAATAATGGATTACGACACACAATGTGTGTGTGTATTGTTATAGTTTCACTCAGCCTAGAAAAAAATGTTTTTTATTAAAAACTAAGCAAACATCTTCAGGACTGAGTAAAAAGTATGATTTATTACAGTGGCTAGGGAGCAGGAGAAGGGAGGAGTTTTGATCCCGAGAAAGATTAATTAAGACTAAAAAGAAAATGCACTGTGTGAGTATTAATGTCGCACTGATAGGTACCTGTAATACAGCTATGAAGGCTTTTTATGAGAACTGTTCGTTCCAACTACACTGGTGGCTATCATCTGAACAGTAAATTTATGTCCCCCAAATACCTGCAACTCCGACTTACGTGCTGAAGTAAAAGATGATCACACTGCTGCAGCACTTTGGTTCACACCTTTACACTATTTTTGCAACGTAAAATTTCCTTACAGATCGTGATATCAGCCCTGGGACTGTCTTCTGTAGCGGAAGAATTTTCACCTAATGCAGGCTTTCTGTAACTGCTCTTGTGTCCCAGCATAGGTCCCAGGTCTGTACTGTATTGAATGCATGCTTCTGTTTACTCTCACTCATTTGTGGTATCTCCAGGTAGATTATTCACACTTGCTTTTATCCTTATAGTTCTCAAAAATCTGCTTAAAGAATCCAATCGCTGCAAGCCAGACTGTATGGTGCCTACTCCTACTGCAGGCAACTGGAGTACTGAGGAAACATCTAGAGACTTCCAGTGGAAGAAGGATGGGCTGAAGGCAAGGCCCTTGCGCTAGCGCTATGCAAACACAACTTCTGTCTTTACAAGTTTATAATGTAAATAAGGAAGGTGAATGAATGCTGGAGAAGAAAACAGCTGCACAGAGAGGTGAAGGAAGCTGCGCAAGATGGGAGAGCTGGTCAGCAGAAGAACCATGTGTGTATTGCCGTATTTCACAACCAAGTGCTATTACTTTCTGCTGCACTGGAACTTGTAGGGCTGCTTACTCCTCTGTGAGTTGCACTGCCGTAGGATTCAATAAAATACCATTCAGTGGACCCATTCCAAATCTTCCGCTAGTATTTCATTACTGGTGCATTCTCTATGGAAAATTGAGGCCAATTTTTATGAAAGTATTTACAGAACTGCTGGGAGTTTAAAATTGGATCTCCATGCATTGAGAAGCACCTTCTTTCTTTATTAAATCACTAATAATAATGGTCTTAAAATATTCTCAGACATTTCTCTGTGAGGCCAACAAAGCAAGTCTGACATTTCCAAAGGTAAAGCCATTTCAGAGAAATAATGAATTAAATAAAATGAAGTTTGAAATATTTCCTAAAGCTGTTGTTAAGTAAATTTTGAAATGTGATGTGCCAGGCTCAGTACCGTGCTTCAAATTATTTACATGATTGCAGAAATACAGAATAGCGGTATGTGTGTTTTTTTACTTTTGCCACAATCATTACGAAAACTTTTTACTTGTGATGTTTCCAAAGTTCAGGACTTTTATTTTGTTAGAAGCTAGAAGGCAGATTTGAGTTGTGGCTTTTGCCTTTATGGGAAAGTAACTTCGACTTTAACTATGGAAAAGAGAACACTTAACAACAGATGTGACCTAACCTACTTACTCTGTGGATAATTAAATACAGGGTAATCTGAACTGGTGGACCACAGTATCTCCAGACTTACCACACCATTTCACTTTCCAGTTTCGATTAGCATCAACACCATGACACCGAAACCTTGTGTTCTTTGACCTTGTTTTTCTCCAAAATCGATCCTAATACAAGTTACAAAATAGTTAAATATCAATATTACTATATCTTGCAACAATCTATTTGTAAACACAACAAACCAACCCTGGTAAACATATTCAGTATTGTATTTTAACTGGAGTAATTTATTTCCATTTTGCATGCCAGAATAGATAGACAAGACTACACAGGTCACCTTCGAATGATATAACAACCATTCAATCTTTCCTGTCTGAACAATTGTTTGAGTAATACTACTGATGCTACTTACATTTGTCCAGCTAAAATGATATCCATCCACATTAAACACTGGCATGATATAGAAATACAGATGAGTTAGCATCTTTCTCATGGCAGGATCGGTCTGGTATGTCTGAAGAGCCTAAAGCAGAAAAGCCGAAGAAAGTAGTTTCAATAATAAAAATAATTTCCTGATTAAGTATTGTCACAGGTTAAGGCTGTCATGCAGCCTTTGGCAGCAGAGAGATCTGATCTCACACCACCACTGACATCCTTAGAGCTGTACTTGAAAGACTCACATCTTCCTGCAAATATGATTAAAGGCAGCATGTGAACACGTGATAAAGGTGTTTGAAAGACCCTATTCTCTCTGCTTCCCAGTCAATTTCAATAACCAAGAAAACACAACTCAGATTACAGAGAAGCAAATGCATACAAACTGTTTCCTGATGCAGGAGCTGAAAGTCAGTGGGATGGATTCTTAGCTAAGGAAATGAGTTTAGCTCCTATAAGACAATGGAGTGCTGTTGTTTCCACCAGGTGATAATTCAGTGAGATCACAGCAGGTCTTAAATCATTTAATACTCACATTATATAAGGTTCTGTTGTATTCAGAGTAATTTACTGTATGTACAATCAGCAATACAGGTAGCTTATTCCTTTATAATAGAATAATAATATAAACTTTTTGACTACCTCAAGTGTAGGTCTTGATTCTGTAAGGTGAGGAACCAAGCATTTCACTGGACAGGTGGAAAGTGTATCACAGTGACGCTGGGTTCAGAGGGACGCCTGAGGCTGCCTCCTCTCCTCCCGCTGCTGTGATTACAGCCCTCCGCTCTGCACTAGTTCTGGCCCTTCAGATCCAAGAAGTATCCAAGTATTCAGATCCAAGATTTGCTCTGAAATAAACTAAGCTGAAAGCTTTCCAACTGACAAAGGCCAGGGAAGAGTGTGAATACAGGAATTCAGTGCTTCTGAGCTCCTAACCATGCAGCTGCTTGGAGTATTGATGCTGCTGCGGGAGCTGACAGATGTTTGTCGTGAAATACCTGTAAGAAATACCCGTGCAATTGGGTGTCGGGCTGAAATTTACTCATGGAGGAGGCTGAACATTTTTGTCTTCACTGAGGACTTAGAGAGACTGCTAAATACTTTTTCTATGCCGTCCGCTAACAACCTCTGTCATGCAGCACTGTCCTGGCCCAGCACTTTGTCCCCAACCTCCCCTCCAAGCAGTGCTCTGCACAGGCCGCTGTCATGGGTTTCAGTCGCAGGTCCTTCAGCCTCACTTGCAGATCCAATTCAGTGCTCGTCCCTGTGGCAAAGCCACCAAGTCACCCAGTGCTGCTCCTCACTGAGCTCCTCTTCTGCCCCAGCCAGGCCAGAGGAGGAGAAGGTGAGCAGTAAGAGGGCAAAGGGGGCGCAGCACAGAATGACATGAGGTGTAGGCAGCAGCTGGGACAACATGGCATGGAGCACTGCACAGCGGGACGAGATGCGGAAAGTGGGGAGGGTTGCCATGGGGGAGAAGAGGATGAGAGGGCTTTTGAGGTGAAACTTGGTGGAGCTATGGGCTGCCTGGGAGAAAGTTCCTGGCCAATGCAGAGATCACAGGTCCCCTTGCCCAAGTGCCAGAAATTCCCCAAAGATTCTTAGCTGGAATGGTATTGTGTTTAAATTCTATTTACTTCTTTAGGAAGCCACATGAAGGTATAAATATATTTGGATAAAGATACTGGTATTCAGGGAAATGCAGCTGTAGTAAAAAGTAATTTTGTCAAAACAGAGGCTGTGGCTGCTCAGAAATAATGACCATGAATACAAGGGCATGTGGTATTCCACATGCAGAACACATCCTAGAGTAACTAGGGCTACTCTGTGCATTAAGCTAGCCCTGCACTTCAATCTTCACAGGATTAAGAGCCTATACGGTAAGTATGGATGTTAAATCTGTAAGGCTGTTCTTACAGTGGAAAAAGAACCAAGCTGTCCCCAAAATGTGAGGCAAGTAAAGTAACATTTTCATCATGCTTATTTCAGGGAGAAGTATTTTGGCTGGGGAGGAAATAAGGCATCACACACCACTTCCTTGACTTTTTAATGCTTCTTGTCTTTTTAGACAGTATTAACAAATTAACAGGTTGTGTCTCCATGGTGGGTATTTACATAATGATAATGAGATTGGCATATTTGCTTGTATCTGTATTTATGTATGTCATTCTTCTGCTGTCAGTTAATTGTGCAGTTTGTTACACTGTACTGTATTATAAACTATAATGTTATAAGATTAGATTTTTTAAAATACTTTAAAAATAATCTCCTTAAAATAACTACAGATAATTAATTAATTTAAGGTAACACACTCCTTAAAAATTGCATGGATGAGCTTTGCAAATTTTTCAGAATCTTTCCAAATTTTCAAAAAGTGACATAATGAAAATACTTGAATTATGACTTACTAATGTTCCACATGTTTTATATCCTGTGCAAATACATTTTCCTTGATAGGCAAAAGCACCACCATTTAAACATCAAAACAAAACACGGACTGCAAAATGCCAGACACCCTTTCATTTTTTAAAGCTATTCTGTTATTCCAATGCCTTCCGTCATTGACAAAATACTAGGAGAGACTTTATAAAGCATTATAGACCCCAGCAGCACTCTTCAAAATTTTAAGTCTTAAAGTTGATACAGAGCCAAATAAGTCAATCATTCAATCCTGTTCTTTAAAGCATATATGATTTATCTTAATAAATTGGTTATCCTGTTAAGAGTAGCATTTCACTGAAGATCTAATGAATCTGGTGTGGCTTTCTTCTTCATGGAAAGCAAGAGCGTAGACGGTGTAACCAGGTGTGAGATCATATTCACTCTTTCTGCTGAAAAAATTTTGTCCTCCCTACTGTTTGTATCTGACAATTTTCTCCGATATATGTAATCAGACAACGCAGACTGTATAATCTTTCCTCCCTGAACAGGGAGGTCTTTGGCAATGTGCCTTACAGTTACTAAGGTACGTCCTTGCTGGAGCAAAGCCCACAATTCGCCTTTCGTGACGTGATTCTTGAATCCTCCAAACACTGATCATGCGAATCACCCTCCTCCCACCAGTGCCGAAACATTTTCTCTTCCCTATGACACAGGCAAGACGAATATAAACCACCAGTGAGTGAACTACATTGTAGTTAGCAGAGAGATCTCTGAGTACAAAGTACTGCGACTTCACACGCCTTCATTCTGCTTCCCCACCATGCAATCAATAGCAGCTTTGCTGCTGAAAGCGCACAGAGCCGGGCTGGCCCAATAAATGCTGAATAGTGTTATTAGAGAATGAACAGATGATACAGGAACCCTGCCAACACCATGCAAGCAATCTGCCTGGGGGATGGGGAAAAGGGCCGATGATTAATAGGAGGGGGCTCAATCATCTGGATCAGCGGAGTGGCGGTTGTTGACAGAGCTATGCCAGCTTAGGCTGGCTAAGGATCCGGTCTATAGGAAATTTAATTTTGGGGACAAAGTGAACAAAAGAGCTATACTGTAAACTGACAAGGCAATAAAAGGCAGGAGCCTAAAATGAATTTAGGATGCAGTTGGGATTTTTATAGAGTAAGGGGATTGATTGAGAAGGACAAAGCAAGGAGACAGGGTTGAGAGAAACTCTGCAGTTGAGCTTAATAATGATTTGCTGTCCCACAATTATTATTAAATTTAAGGTAACAGTCAGCTTTTGCTCTGTCTGGTTTTGAATTAAACAATCACATTGAATTAAACAGTTACTATTTTAGCCCAGGCAATTGACTCCATTGTTGTTCTATCAGAAATTACACAAAATTGCTTTTGACATAAAGATATCAATTAAAGCATCCTTTGTGAATGTAACATACAATGCTTTACTATTGTCTGTACAACTTACACTTAATAGGGTGACACTATGATCATTGTCACTTTATCACTTTGGCAAGTTAGCTCTGTTTCTGTACTTGGAAGCATTATATCTTTTTATCTCCATTTTATCTTTTACTGCTAGTTTCCTGCTTTGGCACTCAAATCACAATATCCACGATAAAGGATAAGATATTACTGAGTATCTAAACCCAAACATCTTAAAACAATGGGGCAAATTTTCAAGGCTGGAGCTTGAACTGTGTCTGATTTATTTCTTTTTCCCCACCAAGTAAAATCCTTCTTCCTCTTTGGGAGCATTTCCTACAGGAGGAACACAGAAACAAAAACTGAGAGAGATGACGATGTGCTGCAACTACACTGCAACACTAAGAAGAGAGACCATAAAAAGTTTGAAAAGAAGGACCTGCAGGATCCCAAAGGCTTGCTTACACTTGTACTTAATGATGCAAATGGCAAAGATGGAGAAGCAGAGAAGAGGCAGAGGGACGGCAGCATGACTGATGTGTTAGAGGAGGAAATAGCAGTTGCAGGAAGATTGTGCACAGCTGGAACCACCCAAGCAAATGCAGGATCTTGTGAGGAAGAAGCTGGACAGAGTAACACAGATCTTAGTGGAAACAGGAGACACAACTTCTGGGTTCCACTCTGAGAGACAGCACATAAAAAGCATCATAGGTTCCATATAATTCAAGGACTGCCTAGCAGGGAAAAGGCCTGAGCTATTCTGAAGAACTGAAAGGGGTGACACAAATTTCTCTACATCTTGGGTGGTATACAACAGAAAAATATAACATCCTAGTTATTGTTGGTCCAGGGTACTACATATTGAAGGCATCTCAACAGAACTCACCTGAATACATTGTTTAGTTAAATTGTTGGGACACAGTTAAATAATTAAGATGCAAATTATTACTTGCAGTTCAATTTCTGGAACAACTAAATAGTCCAACACACAGAATTTTCTTTCACAGTCCTTTCTCATGCTCGGTAGTGTTTCTGCACATCAGTAGTTTTGCTGAGTCCCTAATTACTCGGCATTGTTCTATAGCAATGGACTGCTAAAATATAAAGCTGAATTTTCTTTCCTAGGTCAAGCAATGTGTTGGTACAACAACATGAATTCTCTTCATGCCTTGAATAAGAACATACCCTAGAGCTTACAAGCCTTCCCGGGGTAGAATTTGAATGTCCTACTGATTAATACTTATATAGGAGATTGTGCTAGCA